GTGCCCACTTTTTAATTGGGTTATTTGTCTTTTTCTTGTAGAGGTGTTGCAGTTTCCTGTATATTCTAGAAATGAGTCCCTTGTCTGATATGTAATTGCAAAAAGATTTTTTCCCATTCTGTAGGTTCCCTTTTTACTCTTCTGGTGAAATCTTTTGATGTGCAAGTAATTCTATCTTTGATACTGAACATGATAGAAAAGGAAAGGGAGTTATGACTGGATGTTGTAGTTGTTGTTTAGTGAGGTCGTGTCAGTTCTGACTCATAGTGATGGCTGATGGGTTTGAACTGATAGCCTTGTGCTTAGCAGTCTAGCTTATCCTGCAGTGCTACACTAGGACTGTCAAGGTACTTTGAAAATGTTAGCACATGGAACCTGCCTTTCACTTCTAAGAGATGTAAATTTTAATAATTAAACTCAGAAGTTAAATGATTGCATCTAGCTAATATCTCAAACTTATATTCTTACACTATATGACATGTCCTCTCTGTTACATTATTTTGCTTCCTAGTAGAAGGAACCCAACTTATTCTCCAGAGTTCATAAGCTCTAAGTGCATTTCCATCAATGGAATGTTGGGACTTAGGACACCACTGGAGATAATGGGTGTATTTCAGGCCCTATAGGCAAGCCACGGAGAGAATTGCTTATTCCTAATTGCCTAACATCATTATCAGAAAGAATGAGCTGTGTAATATAAAATCCTGGATGGTAGCCAATAACATATCAGTGTGCAAAGGCTTCCCTGGAGCCAAGGAAATGCACCTTTAGTGGCCACAGTTCCAGGAGTGAAAATGAGATTCCCATTTCCAGTGTTTGGGACTTCTCCAGCAGGTCTTTATCCCATTACCCCACCAGCCACTTGTGAGGTTGTAATAGATTCTCCAGACCCTCTTGCTGCCCTTTATCCTTTGTCCCTGCCCTTGTGCTCTCTGAGAATATTCTAAAGGTTGAGAAGGGGAAGCAAGCAAGAAAGAAGAGATTGTGTTCAAATGTGCTAATTTTGTTTATGTGAATACTCTTGGCTAATGAGCTCTGGTAGCGTAGTGGTTATGAATCGGGCTGCGAACCTTAAGGTCAGCGGTTCGAAACTACCAGCCGCTCCGCGGGAGAAAGATGAGGCTTTCTACTCCCGTAAAGATTTACACCCTCGGAAACCCTGTACAGGGTCGCTATGGGTCGGAACCGACTCAATGGCACTTAACAACAACAACAATGAGAGGAAAGAATGAAGATGAGGGTAAGACAGGGCTGTTTTCCATTCAGATCCCCATGTGGGAGGAAGGAAGGGATGGCTGGAAGCATGAGGACAGGTTCAGCATGCTCCTGGGTCCCCAGTATCACATGATGTTACTCTTAGTTGTTGTTAGTTGCTGTCAAGATGGTGCTGACTCATGGTGATCCCATAAACAACAGAAGGAAATGTTGCCTGGTCCTGTGCCATCTTCATAGTTATTACTTTGCTGAAGTCCATTTTGTGGCCACTATTTTAAGTGCTTTCCAATCTAAGGGACTCATCTTCCATTGTACCATTGGCTAATTTTCAGAAGTTGATTATCAGGCCTTTCTTCCTTATCTGTTTTAGACTAGAATCTCTGCTGAAACCTGTCCACCATGGATGACCCTGCTGGTGTTTGAAGTACTGATGGCATAGCTTCTGGCATCATAGCAACATGCAAGCCACCATGATAAATAACACTGACATATGAATGGTCTTCATATGATACAGTGGAGAAATTGTATGGCTGATGTACATGTTATTAACATTTGTTGAGGACTCACTGTGTGTCAGATATTATAACAAGCATCCTGCTACAATCTCATTTGGCTATCAACAAATCCCTTTGTTGTTGTTGTTGTTATGTGCCATGGAGTCGGTTCCGACTCGTAGCGACCCTGTACAGGGTTTCCGAGGCTGTAAATCTTTACGGGAGCAGACAGCCTCATCTTTCTACCGAGGAACAGCTGGTAGTTTCGAACTGCTGACCTTGTGGTTCACAGCCCGATTTGTAACCACTAGGCTACCAGAGAAGCCCTATGGTGTAAAAATTAGTACTGGGCCCATTTTTTGGATGAGATAAAAAATTCCCCACTTTCCTAACTATACTTTGGGAAAATTATTGACCTTCTCTGTGTTGATATTCTCATTCAAGTAAACTGGTCTAATACATACCTCACAGGCTTTTTGTGAGGTTATAAGATAATATATTTATTTCTCACCTTGTTACATAAAAAATCAGTTATTTTGCCTTATAAGGATATATAAAATGGAAAAAAATAAATTAGAAATAAAGATAATT